GCGTTGGACTGGCTCTGCTGCATCAGTTTGGGGATGGCCCCTTTCTGTTCCAACATGATTGTGCACCAGTGCACAAAGCAACGTTCATAAAGACATGACAAAAATATAATGTGAAAACTTACAGCTCAATATGCCTATCCAAATACGTATAATAAATAAAATGCAATTAAAATATTGCAGCTAACATATACAGTCTTCCCATATACAAATACTAATATACAAATAATACAAATGCAGCACAATATTATAAAATAAATAAATATTAAATATGCATAAATCTTGTTCTATGACAAATACCATATAAGTGCATATTCTGTGCTCAAAATGTATTGCTTTAAATACAACACAATAACGCACACTTCCTTCTATTCCTCATAATACCATGCGTTATCTGAATTCTATCCACTGTGCGTTTATCTAATAGTGATCCAATATAAATCTAGGTGAACCGTCCCTTTAAGACTCAGTGCTCCAAGTGCTAATGTGCAAATTCTTCTCTGTATATATTCATCCAGTGATATCGTGTGACCCCCAGTGTTGGATCCACCTCCGACACACTTATGTGCTCACCTTGTGGTTTGACCCGAACCGTCAGGCCTTTCCCTTTAACCCAGGTGGGTATACTGATGTATCAATCTCCAACTCCTCCTGCACCTCCAAACACCAAAACGCATCACTTGGACATTGACCCGAACTGCAAGGTCAAAAGCGCGCCTTTCCCTTTAACCCAAGCGGGTTTGCTGGTATATATATCCATCTCCTCCTGCTCCTCCAAACTCCAAAATGCACCACAGAAAATGGAAAAAATGCTCCAGATGGTGAAGTATATCAAATCATTGTAAACGTTATTAAAACTCTTAAAATCTCCCACTCACATTTATTTGTGTCCTTCTGGGACACTACCGGATCAATATCTCTTTGTATAGTAATTTTGTGAATGAAATTGCATTGGATCCCCTATCCAAGATGGCGGTATGTATACTTCCAGTTACGGCTTGACGTCATCGGCGTCATCAAACTTATGCACTCACCTTGTAGTTTGACCCAAACCGTCAGGTCAAACCGCGCCTTTCCCTTTAACCCGGGCGGGTATACTGGTGTATCAATCTCCAACTCCTCCTGCACCTCCAAACACTGGGGGTCACACGATATCACTGGATGAATATATACAGAGAAGAAATTGCACATTAGCACTTGGAGCACTGAGTCTTAAAGGGATGGTTCACCTATATTTATATTGGGACACTATTATTAGATAAACGCACAGTGGATAGAATTCAGATAACGCATGGTATTATGAGGAATGTGAGGAAGTGTGCGTTATTGTGTTGTATTTAAAGCAATACTTTTTGAGCACAGAATATGCACTTATATGGTATTTAATTATTGTCACAGAGCAAGATTAATGCATATTTAATATTTATTTATTTGATAATATTGCGCTGCATTTTTTGTATATTCCTAAAGACATGGATGAGCGAGTTTGGGGTGAGGGAACTTGACTGGCCTGCAGAGCCCTGACCTCAACCGGATAGAACACCTTTGGAATGAATTAGAGCAGAGACTGGGAGCCAGGCCTTCTCATCCGACATCAGTGCCTGACCTCACAAATACACTTCTGGAAGAATTGTCAAACATTCCTATAGACACACTCCTAAACCTTGTGGAAAGCCTTCCTAGAAAAGTTGAAGCTGTTAAAGCTGCAAATGGTTGGCCAACTCAATACTGAACCCTACGGACTAAGACTGGGATGCCATTTAAGTTCATGTGCGTGTAAAGGCAGGTGTCCCAATACTTTTGGCAATTTAGTGTATACAGTGGATATAAAAAGTCTACACACCCGTGGTAAAATGTCAGGTTTCTGTGATGTAAAAAGATGAGACAAAGATAAATCATTTCAGAACTTTTTCCACCTTTAATGTGACCTACAAACTGTACAATTCAATTTAAAAACAAAGTTAAATCTTTTAGGGGGAGAAGTAAACATAAAAAACTAAAATAATATGGATGCATAAGTGTGCACACCCTCTTATAACTGAAGATGTAGCTGTGTTCAGAATTAAGCAATCACATTCAAAATCATGTTAAATAGGAGTCAGTACACGCCTGCCATCATTTAAAGTTCCTCTGATTAACTCCAAATTAAGTTCAGCTGTTCTGGTAGGTCTTTCCTGACATTTTCTTAGTTGCATCCTACAGCAAAAGCCATGGTCCGCAGAGAGCTGCCCGAGCTACAGAGGGATCTCATTGTTAAAAGCTATCAGTCACGAGAAGGGTACAAAAGAATTTCCAAACCATTATATATACCATGGAACACAGTGAAGACAATCATCATCAGGTGGAGAAAATATGGCGCAACAGTAACATTACCAAGAACTGGACGTCCCTCCAAAATTGATGAAAAGATGAGAAGAAAACTGGTGTGGGAGGCTGCCAAGAGGCCTACAGCAAAATAAAAGGAGCTGCAGGAATATCTGGCAAGTACTGGCTGTGTGGTACATGTGACAACAATCTCCCGTATTCTTCATATGTCTGGGCTATGGGGTAGAGTGGCAAGACAGAAGCCTTTTCTTACGAAGAAAAACATCCAAGCCCGGCTAAATTTTGCACAAAAAAAACACATCTGAAGTCTCCCAAAAGTCTCCCAAAGCATACATCCAAATCAACAAAGTAATGGCTTCACCAGAAGATTAAAGTTTTGGAATGGCCCAGCCAGAGCCCAGATCTGAATCTCATCGAAAATCTGTGGGGTGGTCTGAAGGGGGCTGTGCACAGGAGATGCCCTCGCAATCTGACAGATTTGGAGTGTTTTTGCAAGGAAGAGTGGGCAAATATTGCCAAGTCAAGATGTGCTATGCTGATAGACTCATACCCAAAAAGAGTGCTGGTATAAAATCAAAAGGTGATTCAACAAAGCATTAGTTTAAGGGTGTGCACACTTATGCAACCATATTATTTTAGTTTTTTTAATTTTACTTCCCTCCACCTAAAAGATTTCAATTTTTTGTTCAACTTAGTTGTACAGTTTATAGGTTACATTAAAGGTGGAAAAGGTTTTGAAATAATTTTTTTCATTTTTCATTTTTTTACATCATAGAAACATATATATGCAATTCTATTGCACAGATCGTCCCCGATTCTCCTTTTCTGGGGTCCCCTGCCATCACTCCTAGCTCCCCCTCTTCTTGATGTCCCACCATAGAAAGTGGCTTCCTATTGTGGAACACCTGCAAGCTTGATCCCGAGCTGGGCTGCGTACACCCATAGACATATGAATGGCCAAGTTGGTTAACAAGACACTGCTTCCAGGTTAAAAGAGAGCTGCCATATTTATATAAAGAATGTCATGGAAGCTATATGTTTTCAGAGAGAGTGCTATGAGAGTCGCATGTAACCAGCAAGACAGCTGTGATAGCTGCAAATAACCAGAGAGAGTGCTAGTGCTATGAGAGCTGCATGTAACCAGATAGAGCACTATGAGTGTTACATGCAATCAGACAGAGCGCTGTGAAAGTTATCAGAGCTAAATGTAACCAGAGCACTAACTGAGCTGCAAGTAACCAGAAAGAGAACTATGAGTGTTGTCAGCAATCAGTATGAGCACTATGAGTGTTGGAAGCAACCAGAAAGCGCACTAATGAAATCAACATGTTAAAAGAAAGAGTAGCATGTTTCCACAAATGGTGCTGTAAAAGCTGAAGGTTATCAGAGAGTACTATGGGACCTGTAGATAAGCAGATGAAGGGCTATGACAGCTGCATGTAACTAGAGAGTGTGCTATGAGAGTTGCATGCAACCAGAAAAGAGCATTATGACAACCATAGTAAGTGTCATGAAAGTTGCATGTTACTAGAGAGATAGCTATGAGACTTGCATATCACTATAAAGGGCCCTATAAAAGATGTAGGTTTTTAGAGAGTGCTATGAGACCTGACCATAACCATGAGAGCTACATATCAACAGAGAACGTTATAAGATATGCATGCTACTGAGTGAATACCCTTTCCTTGCATCTGTGTCATATGATGTTATGTGATGTACTTTTCAGGGCTGCCAGGAAAGATACATGTCATAGCTTGGGGAAAGAATATATACAGCTTCTCGGAGTAGCTCGGTTACGTAATTTCAGAAAAACACTACTGTATGAACAGTGGTAATGTCATTCCATTATGCCTCCAACACTGCCTCCTTGGGCCTTAAAGTGGAAGGCAAATCCTAACTAACTTTAAAGCGACACTCAGCAACATTCTAAGCCTAATCTATCTTGCCCTGTAAAGAAAATATTTGCTATACTTACCTGTTCTGTAGCCGCTTCGGTTTGGTCTCCAGCAGAGCCCTCTGTCAACAATGACTGGGAAATGCCTGGGAAGTGATGTCATCCATAGAGTTACTATTGGGCTTCTGTTGTTGGTTGCCTGTCCTCCACACTCCTACATGCTGAAACCGCCGCTGACAGCTCAGCGTGGGACCAGACCGATGAAGGATGAAGAACAGGTAAGTATAGTGATTTTTTTCTTTACAGGGCTATATAGATTAGGCTTAGAATGTGGCTGAGAATAGGTTTAAGCAGTGGATGCAGTACAGGAAACATGAGTTTTTCTAGCTGCAGAAGAAGGGGCAAAGTGAACCTGTTGCTTCGTAATATATGGGCAAAGAACAAGTTTACTTTAAAATTTGCTATGGTGCCTACTGATACCTCCTATATTGGAGAACTATTGGCTTACAGGTGTTTTACTAAGTAAAAGTTGACATTAAGTAGGTCTAAGGTAAGTAGCCGTTACTATATATTTTCGTAATGGTGGTATTCTGATTTGTTTGCAACTGGTCCTCTTTTCTTCCTTTGATGACTGCGAGCTAAGACTGAACACTACCATATTATTCAACACCTGAAATCACTTTTAAGTGGAACATCTTTTACAAACCAGGTGCATCTCTCTCTAAAATGTCTGACAAGAGTAGTTTTCTTCTAGATGACCGTACTATTAGCCCCGGTTCACAAATATGCAGCCGTGCAGGCCGCGTTTTGTGCGGGCACGGGAGCCCATTAATTTGAATGGACTCTTGTGCCCGAGACACACAGGGAAGAAGCCCCATGCACTTCTTTCGAAAACGCAGCCGCGCGTGGGAACCTCGGTTCCCAGTACGGTTGCATTTTCCAGTGCGGGTGGCGTGCCATTAGAAGTAATGGCACCCGCCCGCGGGTCCGCATTTCTCTGTGCGGGTGGTGCGGCTGCACGGATTTTCATGCAGATTCGCAGCGGCACCGCTCACACAGATGTGAACTTAGCCTTCCTACGACAGTGACTGCACATTAACATGATTAAAAATAATGTAATTAGTATTTTTTAAAACCATGTTTTACTACAGTGCATTTATTGTGTGTTTATAAATGTTTTTTTTTTTATTAACCTCCCTAGCGGTCTGATTATGTCAGTATTTCTGTGCTCAAAGCGGTACATTTTTTTGCATGGAAATATGTTGTTTTTTAATTGTAGGCCTGTAATTGTTAGGAATAACTCACTGAAATCTGTCCAAACAAGAGTCTAGTAAACATCCCAGGTATGATAAAATTTGAAACCCGAAATCATAAATTATAATATAATAAATAATCATAAAAATAATAATATAATAATAATAATAATAATACTAATAAATTTAATTAAATAATATAATCAAACCAAAAATACTGAAATTTGAAAAGTTCGCACATCACTGAGCAAAGTCGCAAAATCGTTTTCAGCGTCTGATGACTAATTTCCCCACAAATCATTATCACTCAATTCTGCAAGTGGTTCTAATTTACTATCGCTGTTCTCTAGCTGGTCTAAAATCGCATTTGACCTAAAGAGGCGCTTTTTGGACGCCATGGACGTTTCTCAGTTTCCAGGAAGAAAGAACAGTAAAAATGCAGGCAGGGCACAGGACAAAGCACTCGGAACAAAATGTATGTGAAATGGTTTGATACAGTAATGTTATACTATGAGATTTTAGGGTATTGAATGAATGTCACTTTTAAAATTTTTGAATTTTCCGCCGGTTCCGTCCCCCCGTACGTCCCAGAGCTCGCAGGGAACGGAACCCATGAGACTGATGCTGGCATCCGCAGGAGGAGATGGCCGGGGACGCTGCAGGGGGGACATCGCGGGAGCGAAAGACAAGGTAAGTGCTGGAGGGAACCCTGAGCAGGGTAATCCCGAGTGTAGCTCAGGGTTACCGCTTTTGGTACTGAAACTTAACCCCGAGCTACACTCGGGAATACCACCAGGGAGGTTAAAAGCATGACTGTTTTTAATGGAAAAATCTAGAAATGTGAACAGGCCCTAATAGTTACCACACAGGTAACAAGCACCCCTCTATCTTCGGAGTGAGGCTGGAGACTGAATATAACCCATGCGTTATACATCGCGTCATAACAAGGGGGCATTTTGCTGGTTTGGGAGAGGATGAATGCAGGAAAGTGAATATGCTGAACAGTTACATACAAAAAAAGGAGTCTACCTGAGGCTGTGCCCCATCCTAAATTTATTAAACAGCAATGGGTTACTGAGCATCATGAAAGAAGTAGCTGCAGCTTATAGGATAAAGAGATTATCCGTAACATAAATGATGCTTAACTAGCCGTATTATACAACTAAGCAAGAAGCCTGCAAAGCAGCCATTATCCTAAAGTACACCAGCATTCTGGTTAGCCTTGGCACTGGACCCATATGTTTGCTGGCAGGCACTCACATAGCCTCCATCTCACAAAGATTCAGAAGTGTTCCTCCCGCTATCCTGGAGCTATATATTTTACAGAAAGCCCTGCTGGCAGGAGCCTTAGAACATCATTAGTAAATTTGGAAGCCTTCCTGAAAAATAGCTCCCGCCTGACAGAACGCTCACTGTCCAGTTCAACTTCACTACCCACAAGCTAACACATTCCAGATGAAGAAAAATATAGCTTAGCTGGTAAATATCACACAAGGAGTGCACTGTGAATTGTGCTTCCAGTCTTGTAGGCACAGTAATTTTGACAGATCTAATATAAATAGGGATATGCTAATAAAATGACAGTGAGCCTCCTGCCTGAAACAAGAAAGATCTGTGTTGCCTATACCCACTAAACACATTTCTTTATTCTCCTACATTTTACATGTTGTTTAAAACATAATTACAGGCCTTCCCTCACACTCTGTGTCATTCAACCTAGAAAAGGGCTGGTTTTTAAGTGGAGAGTCTGCAGTAGACACCATTGGAGAAGAGGTGAGTATTGCAGCAAAAGCAGATTTTTATTTTATTTTTATAGCTCTTGGACAATTTAATGTTCATCTCTAAAGCTGCAGTTGGGTTTTAACCAATAAATAAGGATCAGTACATGTAAAAAGTAAAAAATACAGCAAAGGTTTTTCCCTACCCCTACATCTAAGAGATGCAGCTACACAGTCCTCAAATGTAGTCTTCTAGCCTGCTACACTGCTCTGGCCTGCATTGGCCATAGTAAGTCTTCCAATTCAAGTATTTAGGCCAGGCTCTGCATATCTACAGTACGTCAGAGTCACCCTTCTCAGTTTCGAATAATAGTATTGCACAGTTCTTGGGTAGCATTTGCTGCATTTTTATATAAAAGTGCAGTTATGCTTTAAAAACTGAACATGTGGCAAGTAGCTAGGTGCACACTAAAGTAAATATATGAAGTTGAATACCTGACAAAGGATTTGTAATCGTGTTCAGTGAATCTCGTTATCTGCAATCTAACCTAATCTTGTTATCCATACTGGGTCATAATATTTACCCTAACCCTTATCCCCAGAGTGTTGTTACATTTTGCCTACAAAACTCCTTTAAGGCAAAGTATAAGCTTTTCTACAGCTTGGTGCCTAAGGCAATTGCCTCAGTGGCTTTACTCTCAATCTGGAGCTGTTAAACAAACTTGCATTAGTGAACCTAAATATGCTCCCAACAGCCAGAGAGAAGGCCATGCTCACCATCGTATGGTATAATTGGTTTTCATCTCCAGTGCAAAGTAAAAGATGTAAAGATGCTATCACAGCAAGATGCATATAGTGTGAACACAATTTAAGCACTTGGATCATAGCAATAGTCTGCACAGTCTATATTGGGTTTCACATTGAATATAACAAGATACACTGCTGCTATGACACACAACTGATTTGACGCACATATCAATGACCATAGAGACAGTGCCTGATTAAACTCTGTGGAGGCCCCTAGGCAGTCAAAACCTTGGGCCTCCCTCCCTCTCGGAGGTTTCATGTATGCATGCTCTAGTGGGATAACATTAGTAGTGTGCACGTTGGCCGTTAGATGGAGATAACCATTACTACAGTACATTTCACAAATGTAGGCTGCACCCAAATTTTTGACAAACTGAGAGCAGAAAGAAGATGAGCTTTTAAGAGACAAACTATAATGTGAACCTGGTGTCTATCATTTATGTACTTTACGTTATTATTGGGTACATTATATCATTACATTAATACAGTATATTCTCTTTACTTTTCGTTTCTTTGAGTTTATTTTTTTATTTATCTTTTGTAAACAATTTAAGAATGCTTCACTGTAATTTTATTTCAATATCAAATCAATTTTATTTTGATCTGGAGTCGAGGGGCCGTTAACTACAGTTGTGTCCAAAATTATTCAACCCCCAATGCTGTAAAGGGGTTTAGGGACTATAGTGTACATTTGGAATTGTATTCAGAATCAAATCCTACAAGGACGTTGTAACTACCCAAATGCAACTAAAATGACATCAATTGTTTATGTAATACAGTAGTAAATGGTTCTTATGTGGTTTCTTCATTGCCACAATTATTCAACCCCTTAAAGACTACCACTCTGAAGAACAGAGGTTCATACAGGTGCTTTCCATCAGGTATTGAAAACACCTGTGGATGTCACCGAGCAGCAATCAAGCATAATAAGCACCAATTAGGCAGCTTTAAAATGACTGTGATACTCAGCTCCTTCTAGACATTTACTGGTGTGGTTACAAACATGGTGAAGGCAAGAGAATGGTCCAGGAAGACAAGAGAAGAGGTGATTTCTCTTCACAGGAAGGGCAATGGCTATAAGAAGATTGCAAAGATGTTAAACATACCAAGAGACACCTTAGGAAGCATCATTCGCAAATTCAAGGCAAAGGGCACTGTTGAAACGCTACCTGGTCGTGGCAGAAAGAAGATGCTGACTTCAACTGCTGTGCGCTACCTGAAGCGTAGAGTGGAGAGAAGTCCCCGTGTGACTGCTGAGGAACTGAGAAAAGATTTGTCAGATGTGGGTACAGAAGTTTCAGCCCAGACAATAAGACGCACACACTGCGTAATGAAGGCCTCCGTGCCAGAACTCCCAGGCGTACCCCCTTGCTGTCTCCAAAGAATAAGAAGAGTCGACTGCAGTATGCCAAAAGCCATGTGGACAAACCACAAAAGTTGTGGGATAGTGTTCTGTGGACTGATGAAACAAAATTAGAACTGTTTGGGCCCATGGATCAACGCTATGTTTGGAGGAGGAAGAACAAGGCCTATGATGAAAAGAAACACCTTGCCTACTGTGAAGCATGGTGGAGGGTCAATCATGCTTTGGGGCTGTTTTGCTTCTGCAGGTACAGGGAAGCTTCAGCGTGTGCAAGGTACCATGAATTCTCTTCAGTACCAGGAGATATTGGATGGAAACGTGATGCAGTCCGTCACACACCTGAGGCTTGGGAGACGTTGGACCTTTCAACAGGACAATGATCCCAAGCATACCTCCAAGTCCACTAGAGCATGGTTGCAGAGGAAAGGCTGGAACATTTTTGGAGTGGCCATCGCAGTCACCAGACTTAAATCCGATTGAGAACCTCTGGTGGGACTTAAAGAAAGCAGTTGCAGTGCGCAAGCCTAAGAATGTGACTGAACTGGAGGCCTTTGCCCATGAAGAATGGGCGAAGATACCCGTAGATCGCTGCAAGACACTTGTGTCAAGCTATGCTTCACGTTTAAAAAGCTGTTATAACTGTAAAAGGATGCTGTACTAAGTACTAAGATTGAATGTCACTTGGGGGTTGAATAAAACTGATAATGCTGTGAGCACAGAAAAGACATTTGTGGTTATTTCATTATAACTGTTATGTTATATTTGTCTGACCTACAAGTGCCTCTTTAATGTAAATGTAAGCAAGATGACTGAATGATCAAAAGCAATGTCAAACTGGCCAAAACACTCAATTTCAGTGGGGTTTGAATAATTTTGGACACAACTGTACTTCCCTACTGGGCCAATGCTGACATTTCTCTCCTACATAAAATCAT